TTCTAGGCAATACAAACAGCATGATGTTTACAAACAGGGATGATCTCTGCTGGGAAATGGGGAAAGMTCCTGGAGGAGTGAGCTTGGAAGGAGCAAGCAAGTGCCTGTTCTTCTCWTGTTTAGAGGAATTAGTTCATCTGCATGGTCATGTTTTGGTAAAAGAGATGGAGTTGTGCTGATCTCCTTGGTTTGTAGGCTCATTTCTTCTGTTAATGGGAGACACAAGGCTCTTTAAGAGCTGCTAATTGCTCAGGTTAAAAAAACCCCAAAGGCCACTTGGTGTCATGCTGGAATTAAGACTCAGAAAAAAGTGTGAGCTAGTTCTGCTGAAAATGGAACAGATCAGAGGCACAACATCTACAAACCAGGTTTGCCAAAGTGCTTAAAATAACAACTGGCAGTTTCCCTGGGTGTTGTTGGACTTGACGTAGAAATTTCTCAAAAGGACTGAGAGAGCACAGAGAGACAAAAATGGCAGCATTGGGAGTGCAGTTCCTGAGGGGATTTTGAAAGCCCACGTACAGGATCTGTCAGTGGCTGCAGAGGTGGTGACATGGTGGCCTTTGGTGGCCAGGAGTGTGTTTGGGGTTGGAATTGCAGGGGCCATTTGGGTACATATGTGGCCTTTTTGTGTTGCTGGAGGTTGCCCAGTGGAGTTGCCAGGGCCAGTGCTGGTCATTCATGTGTTTTCTGCATTATCTGGAAAGAAAAGAAGCTCAGACAGGAGGGGTTGTACTCTTCTGTCTCAAGATAGGGAAACCCTACTATTTTTGGTAGTTTAGTGGAGAGTTTCAACTTATTACGTTAAATATTTTGGGAAGTGAGRGGGCAAAGGGGGGGAATATCTCAAACTCAGACCTGCATTTCCTGCTTCTGTCCCCGGAGGAGAAGCTTCTGCCCTYGATAGGTGCAAATCCTCATCCCAAAAATGACATGGAGCTGTGTCAGGGTTGGGATGGATCTCAGGGAAAGGTTCTTCTGTCCCGAGAGGGTGCTGGCACTGCCCAGGCTCCCCAGGGAATGGTCCCGGCCCCGAGGCTGCCAGAGCTGCAGGAGCGTTACGACAGCGCTGCCAGGGATGAACAGGGTGGGGATTTTGGGGGGTCTGTGCAGGGACAGGGGTGGGATTGATGATCCCTGTGGGTCCTTTCCCACTCAGCATATTCCAGGATTATGTGCAATAATAATCCTGAACAACTCATGGCATGGAGAAGGCAGCTCTGGAGTAGGAGGATTCCCAGAGYTGTGCTGTTGCTGTTGGATCTGTGGAAACACTGAGGAATTGGGATGGTTATGGACACAATTCTGTTAAATTGAGCTGTTTGGGGAGAAAACAGAAGTTGTTCCAGCTTTCTCTGCAACAGCCAGACAGAAGGAAAGGGCTGGTGGGAGTTCACAGCTGAGTCCTCTGGAGAGAAAGCAGAAGGAGAGGAAGAAGAGGCAAWGCAGGAGAAGCAGCTTGTTAACTGTTTTCAGAAAACTTTTTAGCAACTGGAAGATGCTGAGTTGTCAGGTGAAAGGAGGGGAAAGAATTAAGGAGACACTTCCTGGTGGCTGTTATCTTGCTGTAGAGATCCCACAGAAGTTTCATGTGTCCATTTTGAAGAAGTTGAAAGTCTGTCCATAAAAGTCACCAGGTGAAGAGCAAAGCTTGGAAGCACAGGGCCAGCCCTTGTGGCTCATGTTTGGGCCCTGGAGCAGCAGGAGTTAATGTTTYCTAGGATCTGAAATGGGAACAGAGTGGGTGGATTGAAGGGGGGGTTTCTAGCCTAGACACTGATGGTTCTTGCAATTAAAAACAATCCCAAGACAAATGGTTGAATTAATCCCAAAGACAGTGATTGGAAAAGACAATTATGTGTAAATGGAGAAAATTAAACTTGAGTGTTGAGCTGTGGAATGGGAATGTCTGGGCATGTGGGGTCCTGGATGAGCTGGGAATTGGTCTGAGTGTTGTTTTAGGGAAGGACCAGGGCCAGGGAAGGTTTTCTAAAGGTTTTTCTGGCTGTGGAACGGCCCTGTGACAGAGGGGACAGAGAGTTTGGAGGCAGCTGATTGCCAGGGAGCCATGGCTAGGGTCACCCATGGGAGTGACCCCTGTGGGGAAGGTGGTTGGGATCCTTGGGGCATCCAGGCTGTTGAGGGGTTTGTGCCTCTGTCAGGCAGGACCAGGTGCAGCAGAAGTGGGGATTGGAACCGCATGGCCCCTTCCAGCCCAAAGTGCTCTGGGATTCTGTGCGATAACCCTGTGAAATAGCAGCTGAAGATCCAAGGGGGAATGGTGGGGGAACAGACGGAGATTTTATGTTTTCTAAAGTTTAGTTACTCGGGGAGAAGGAGGAATCGAGCAGGGCTGTGTCATAGCTGTGTTCCCTAGTGCCTGGAAGGGGCGGGGGGAGCGGCTGCCCGGTACCGGGAGGATCCGCCGCTGCTTCCATCCCTGCTGCGCCGAGCGGGACCCACTGACCTGCTCGGTGCCTTCTGCCGWTGGACGGTGGCAGTGGTGGCACCGCCGGGCTGTCCCTTCCGCGCCGATTGCCTCCCGCCTCCCTCGATTTCGGCGGCGCTTTTCAGGCAGCTCAGCCCCAGCTCCGCGATGGGAACAGCCGTGTCTGAGCTGCCGCGGGGGGTGGGGAGGGCGGCGGGGCCGTGCGCCGGGAATGCTCCGGGCTCCCCGGGGATGCTCGAACYTCTCGGGATCTTCGATACCGCACCCCGCGATGCTCGGGGTCCCCTTCGGATGCTCGCAACCTCTCGGGATGCTCAGAACCATCTGCGATGCCGGAATGCCTCTGGGATGCTCAGTACCCCCTGCGGCTTTAGGAGCCACCCCAGGGATGCTCGGACCCCCTTGGGGACGCTCAGACCCTGCCCGGGATGATCAGAACCCTCCGCGATGTTCGGAGCTCGCCGGGGATGCTCGGAGCGCTCCCCTCCCCCTGCCGTGCTCGGGGCCCCCTCCTCCCGCACTCGGATTCCCCCGGGATGCTCAGAACCCCCCAAAACCGCTCGGACCCCTCGGGCTGGGCCGGGCCGGGGTCGCGGCTCCGCGGGGAGGGCGGGGCCCGCAAGGGCGTGTCCGGTGGGCGGGGC